CACACACACACACACACACACACACACACACACACACAGATACAGTATGAGTCTTGTCACATCCTGGCACAGCCCATTAATAGGATCGGCCAATTCAATTTCTCCTTTCCCTCTGTGGCAGCTTAAAGTGACAACCATGCATCTTGTGCACAAGCCACCAACTTGGGGCTTTATGTCCTATAAAAAACCGCTGTGCTGTTTTGGGTCCCTGTTAACTAAGTCCACTGGCTAAAAGGAATAGATTGGATGTCATAAATGTAATGCATTTGTTAGTTGTATACAAATACAGCCGGGAGATCTAAGTCCAGGCTTATCTGCATTCCTGGCCATAAAGTTTGATCTTATAAGACAAACCCTGCATTATATCACCCCAATATGAAAGGATTTCATTCTGTGTGGATTTTAAAACAGAGAATTTTCTTCTGAAAACCTGGATGGTGAACTGGATGTTGAGATAGAATATACATTTTTTTAATGTTTATTCTAACATTGTGATCTCAGATAAATGCTGTTTGGCTCATTCTATTTATTCACCTGCCAATTCAAGTAATCTAAGGAGCTACACTTCATTAATTGATAAACAGTTGGTTGTGTTGTGAATGTTTGCCACACACGTTTTGTCAAATTGATGAATGTTTTCTCCATTTTAATGTGTTTCAAGTTTACCTCAGTTTTTTTTAAGTCGTGCTGTGATGAGCTCTCAGGGCTAAAACTATATGGGTACTGTTTGTGCATTGTGTGTGTGTTCCTCAGTGTTTCCAGTGCATTATTCACTTCCAAACCAAATTTAAATGGGACAACTGTGTCGGACTGTGTATCTTGTAGTTCAGACTGCAGTTGCAGATTATTTGTTATCTTTTCACTTTGCAAGTATGATACAATTTTTAAGTCTCAGTCTCGCTCCGCTGACTTTGACTGACATCGACACTAATCTATGTCTAATGCAGAGAAAATCAGAAAGTCAATAAAACTTGCCTCCTTCGCCAAGCAGGAATTAAAGGAGAATGAGAGTGAGAGAGAGTGTGTGTGTGTGTGTGTGTGTGTGTGTGTGTGTGTGTGTGTGTGTGTCTCTGAGTGTGTCTGAGTCTGAGAATGAGAGAGAGATAGATGTCATTTCAGTTTAATTGAGACTGTCACAAACTGAATCCTCAGGCAGGAAACACTTAATGGGAGCCTCCCAGTTTATCCTCATGCTTGATTGAATGAGCTGGATACTCTGGAAGTCAGCTGCGTCTTTATTGTTACTGACAGAAAATGGTGGAGGGTTGTTATCAATTTTAAGTGAGAGTACTTCAGTCCTGTTTTTTTGTACTACACATGTGTGGGTAGCACAGATTATTGGGGGGGGGGGAATACCCTCAAACATCCGAAACAAACATATCTTTGAAATGAAATCCGAGAGTCGTGTGATGAATTTAAAAAGATGGCTGAGGAACACATCCTCGTTCAGAGCTATACTGTGACTTTTCACACTAAATGAACCATGACTTGAGGCGATTAATTAAGACTGAATGATATTTAGATTAAAATTGGTTTACGTAGGCAAGAAAAGGATGCGCTAAATTGTATTCGCAAATGTAATTTCATCATGTGGTTCATTCAAGTAAGTGATTCAGTCTGATCATCGTGTTGTCATGTATAAGGTCACGCTCTTATGTATCTGTGTGTTATGTATGTAGAGGATCTATTTCCTCAGGATGTACGTCACGCTGGAGAAATGTGTGCTACTAGATAGTAATTGGGCAAAAGAGCTGGACAGAGAAAGACAAAGAAAGAGTGTGAGGAAGGAGATTATAGGAAAAAAGGTAGATTTAGTTTAAATAGAAATTAAGTGAAATTCCTGAAAATAGGGACAAATGTCATTTTTATCCACCACCAATTCTTATATAAACCTAAGGTTTTCCCTTTCATAAGAACCACTCAGTGCTTTATATATGGTGTGAAAATCCCCCTGTACAGAAACAATATTAATATCATCCTCCCATGACAGCCAGTATGTGCTGTATTAAGGGTATTGTGATTTGCCGTGTCAGCCGAGCCCTTAGGGTCAAGCCTCCATTTTTCTCTCTTACCCATATGTCAGTGTGACAAAATGTAATTTCCTGGACAGTGTGCCATCCCTCCTCATGCGAGTCATCAACTGTTACACGCAAGGTCACTGTCCACGCCTTTGCTGCACCCCCGTACAAGGCGTGTCATCATAAATCATGATTGTGTCGGTTCAGTACATGGACTCTTGGGGCAGAAAGATATCAGCACTCTCCATGATTAAATCTTTTGATTTCACTGAATGTATCTTGGGTCCAAAAGTCAAAACACAAGTTGAATGAAAAAACAATATGAAATGCTGGAATAGGTATCAGGCTATCACAAGCTTCCAGGAAAGCTTCAAATTCATGGTGGTAGTGAACGGTGCTTTTTAACATGACCCGCAAAAAACGTGTTTGTCCCAGTGGTTCAGACATCACAGATTTCAGAGTGTTTTCATCAGCATTAATATTGTTTCTATACTTTATTTATTTATTCAGAGTCTTAATTTAAAAATGTTTGATCAGCATATCATCTTATATAGTGGATGTATTTTATCTTTGTAATTCTATTGTTTTATAAGAAAGTACAAAGGCTAAACGATTTACAACAGGGAAGGTAAGCTCATCAAATGTTGGCAAGACATTCATAAAATCACAAAGTAAAATACAGGCATCTGTAATTTAAAGACAATTCTCATACAATCATACATGAAGTAAGTTTTTTCAAAATCACGGTGCTAATTGGAGTTCATCTGTAGTTGGGGCTCAAACCAGTGTTTCAAGGTTCCAATAAAACTCGTTACACACAGAAACCGTGCACACTTAGTATGATGTTTTATTCTATTCATTCTGAGAATTTGCTGCAGATACAATGGAGTCAAGCAGGATTGTTCTGTAGTCCTCTCACTTGCTGAAAAAGGAAAACCTTGGGTCCATCCAGTCCTGAGAAGCTGTCCGCGACTAAACAACTAAAGATAATTTCATCTTCTGATCAAAGAGATGTGAAATGATCCAGATCATTTCCAAGTCTATTTCATCATGTCAGTGGTTTAGTTTGATAAGCTGCCAGCACTGAGACCACATATTAAAATGAAGAAAACACACCTTGATCTTGAACATTTCAAACATCTCTGATGGACAAACATTTTAGAGTTGGTGCATAAATGTGATTGACACAATATGAGGTGTTTTTTTTATTTTTATGACAATTTCAGAAAATAAAAATTTGGTGTGCACAGACCTTTAGTCCTGCATTATGGGTTCTGCTGTTGAGCAACACTACAATCCAAAGAGTGATCAAGGTAAAAGTTAGAATATGAGAACAAATGACTACAACAGCTATAACATCTCTTCTTGGATGTCAAGCGAATTGAAACTCTGTCACTATAAATATTTAAATCGTTTATAACCCAAGGCTGTTAACAACGATCGATACTCACTAGTAAACATATTTGAACTCTGTGGAAGATGTTGAGATGTGACTTGTATTTTTCAAGTATTGGACAGTGGAGGTTCTCCCTTGACCTTTAACTTGAAATCTATACTCATCTGATTGTCAGTTTACTCCACAGAGGGATGACTCACACTGCTTAACACACAAACACACACTGACACTGACACACACACACACACACACACACACACACACACTTGGGAGTGACAAAGGCCTTACATAACATTTTAAAGCAACTCTAACATGGATGTGTTACATTGTTACAAGCTTTAATCACTGAAACAGCATGTCTGTCTCAGTGATGACGAAAAAGCTGATGCATCCACATCCCTCTTGCTCCCTCTTGATTTTTTTAACCAAATCACTTTGGCTTTTTTATTTGCACATTGTTTCTTCTCTCTGCATCTTTCCGGAGTGCTAGCACATTGGTTTCTGATACAACAGGAAGTGAACAGATCTCCTAAACTAGTTTAGGGGTTATCTTGTTGCCCTATTGTGCTAAAACACAAGTCATGTGGCCACTTTCTTGCCCTCAGGGTGTTGTTTTGTGCAGTGTAACAGTGTATTTTGTATCTATATATATTTATTTTTTGTTTACAGAAAGGTGGTGATGCGTGAAAGTACACAGAATGCCCCCCATCCTCCTATAAAGCAAAGCCAAAAGCCATTTGTGTACACTGAAGATTTATTCCCCAATTGACAGAGTGCAATGCTATTCTATCTTATAGCAGATCATCTATTTTCCCAGGGAATCCAGGCATGAAATGTGTTATGTGTTGCTATAATGAGTTGTGAGAAGAGGACTCTCAGGCTGCATGTGCTGAAGATAAGCATAACTGGAGTGAAAATGTGGATATGTGATGGTGTGAATCACTTCAGTTTGATCCTCCAGTGAACAATCAATGTGCTGCACACAACATCTTCTCCATCTACTCCAACTCTTTTTGTCTAGCTTCAGATGTTACATATTTATCAATTCCAACATAAATATCAAACGTCCTCTTTTCTCAGAATAGTACTCGGGAACATAAATGCTCACTGGTTCCTTTAATTATTTACCTGTGTCTTTTTTTTGTTCTTAATGACAGTCTTAACAGATCATGAACGAGTTGTTTCATGATGAAAAATGCCATGAAAGAGACGGCTGTGATTAAGATGTACCTAAACACAGGAGAATGGGATGAATCCTCAGGAGCTTTACAGAAGCTCCAATGTTTCCTTAATAGCTTTAGCTCAGTTTTTCTCCCATAGCTACAGGTAGAACTGGGTCACAGCATCTCTGTGTTTGCAGAGCTGTACATCTCAATGACTACAGACATGGATGCTCACTGACTAGGAGCCTGTGATAAGACAGTCTGACAATGAGTCAACAACAGCATATGGGAAATGAGAAATCACCGCAATGCTTGCGTTGTTTTATCTCAAGTGAAAGCATGATGCTGTGAAACTGTTGCCACCGATACGTCACTAACAGTAAGTTCCTTGAATCCCTCACACCTCTCTTTTCTATCTTTTAGTACAAACAAGTGGAGCAGTACATGTCCTTCCACAAACTTCCGGCCGACTTCCGACAGAAAATCCACGACTACTACGAGCACAGATACCAGGGCAAGATGTTTGATGAGGAGAGCATCCTGGAGGAGCTCAATGAGCCTCTGCGTGAGGTATGACAACACCCAGCAGCCACTTTAATGAGATCAGTCTCTCACAAAGACACACACCACTCTCAACCCTCCACTGTGTTAGTGGATCGGAATAAATTCATTACAAAGTTCATCTATGGACTCTTCATTACTTTCAAACCTGCCTTGTTTGGTCTGGAGCTTCAGATTTTTTAGTTTAATGAAAGTAACAGGTGTGAAAGGTCCAGACCAACGGACAAACCTTTCATCCGACCAAAACAGGTGGTCCTTGTCAAACTGAATCATTATTTAGAATATTTGCAGCATGAACATTTTTTTTTGCATAGTTAAAACTTGTAAATTGCAAATTATTTGAGACAAGATGCTGAAATCAGATGCACACCTGTCATCAACCAATCAATGCAAGTATTGGTTGACACAGACCATGTGGATGATGACGACAGGACATACATGTGTACTAAAAGAGTCTCTAGTCTGCTCCATGAATTACGATGTGAAATCAAAACCAACTGGATCAAATGTAAATAATACATACACACTCAAGATACCTGCTTCATCAATAGCTGTGCTTCTTCAAATGCTGAAGCAAAAAACTCAAACAAATCAAAATCAATGACAATCTTTTGTCATGATGTAGGAAATCGTCAACTTCAACTGTCGTAAGCTGGTGGCGTCCATGCCGCTGTTTGCCAACGCCGATCCCAACTTTGTGACCGCCATGTTGACCAAACTGAGATTTGAAGTCTTCCAGCCCAGAGACTACATCGTCAGAGAGGGCACCATCGGAAAGAAGATGTACTTCATCCAGCACGGCGTGGTCAGCATCCTGACCAAAGGAAACATTGGGATGAAGCTGATGGATGGATCCTACTTTGGAGGTTTGTTACTGCTTGTTACTGTTTGTTACTGTTTGTCACTGTTTACTGTAAAATTTGCAATATTCCATTGCATAGAAAAAGGTAAGTAAATTGTTTTGATTTATATTCACTAATATCTAGTTAATTTCACTTAAAAGTTGTGTGTTATATATTGTATTTTATATTGACTTAATTTTTAAAAATGACAAGTGACATTTACTTCAGTAAAGCTGCTTTAGTGGAACAATTTAGTCTAATTTATTTAGTTAGAATATGGGATTTGATTGCCTAGATAAACAAAGTAAGCACAACAGAGAAAGAGTATTCCACATGATATTTTTTTTACTCTTAATTAATCATTTTATTTCTAAGTGCCATTTAAACCACTGAAAGTAAGAAGAATAAAATTATACAATAAAGCACTCACCCTATAAAGTAATCTTTAATCTTTTTAAGAGACAAATTGCTTAATCATGCTTGTCAATATCAACCATAACAACAGTCATCAGCTCCTCTTCTACTTTGCTTTACTCTGTTGTTTTTCTATCCTATTCTATAATCTGCAAATGTTGATTTCCTCATAAATCCCAATACATTAACAACTTATGTTTATTGTTTAATATGAATTGTAGCAACAAGCACATAAAGAGGAGCACCCTGACATTTAACTTTTTGCCTCGCAGCCACTTATGTCCCACTTTGCCATGTTGTTGTTCCTCTGTAGTTCGGAAACATGTGGAGCCACCACCACCCATGAACCCACACAGGCGTGCACACACACACTTTTTAAGTTATGTGGGGTTTTTAACATCCATTTGCCCTCTGCATTTGACCAAAGTTCACTTATAGCAGCACTGATGTGTCGGCAGCCTAGGGTGAGGTTGGAGTGGCAGGGACGCATGGCACACACATCACTCAGCCAATTTATAACAGCTAATTAGCACCGCAGAACAGTGAGGACGGGGTCATTTATAATGTCACCCCTGCCACCAGGGAGGGAATCGCAGGCCTCTCTTCATACATAAACTAGCAGTGAGCTTGGATAGGAGGGACAGCATACTTTAACTGCTGCAGCAGCAGTGAGAATCTGTGGTAAAATCTTTGAATTAGTAAGTAACAGCAAATGGTGGTATTAAGCCAAACATGCACTAAATTTTTTATAGGATTTTGCTGTTCTTACACTTGTGGTTGTGGACTTTAGGTCACGTGTTTTATTCATGTTACATATTGACATCAGGACTTCCTGTTAGATAGGTTGAGTTAGATCATATGGTTCAATAGGCATCATCTCTCACATCATATTTCAGTACATCTGTCATGGTTTGTTTCCACATATTATACACATTTTTTACTTGCGTAAAACTTGGCTTCAGAGAATTAAATCACTTGATTCTGGTAGCTAAAGGTCAAAGGTCAAGGTCACGGTGACCTCATATCCCTGTGAATCAGGACTGCCCATATAGAATTTTATTACATCTGGCACAATGGACTCATGGATGACATGATTAGACTTTAAAGGTCAAAGGTCACTGTGACCTCTCAAACACATGTTTTGCCTTTTTAATGTGATATCCCTACAACATCTCAAGGGAACTCTTTCAAATTTGACACACGTGCACAAGCAAAAATACAGAAATACAGTATGTACGTGGAAACTGCACTGGTCGGTGGAGGCGTACAAGCGCAGTGTGGTAATTCTATAACATTTAGAAACAGAAAGAGCGATTTTGGTATAACTGTAGCTGAGACTGCAGCTTAAAGGGATAGCTCATCCAAAAATAAAAAATCACTCATTATCTACTCACCCCTATGCCGATGGAGGGGTGGGTGAAGTGTCTGAGTACACAAAACACTTTTGGAGTTTCAGGGGGAGGAAAAGATGAATGCAGTAATGATCCTACATACTGGAGAGACTATTCACAGAAATGCTAAAATACATAACACCCATCATTGTTCTCTCTATATTATTCATGATTTTTGAGAATTATAGCTGCCCTATCCACATCCTGCAAATGGTTATCCTGTGATGTTGAACAGCTTTTTAATGCAGCCCCAGCGGCATCATTCAGGTTATCATCCTCTCCAATCGCTCACCACTTCCACTGTAATGATGCTAGAAATATGCAAATGCATGTGTTGTGCATAACCAAGAAAATCCCAAGAGACACTTTATGAAAGGACGTCTCGGGCAATTTATGGAGAGTTTTTCCACACCTCTCACAAAACTGGAACATAGGAAATGCTAGCCTTCCAAACATGACTGTTTGGTTTAGTAAAGATGTCTGTCCACTCATATCTCAGCAATTTTGACCAGATTGTATGTAATGAATAAGATGTTCATCGATAGACAGACTGATGTTTTGACTGCATGTCACAGCTCTGTCTTTGTACAGTACATCCCACAGCTTATACTTTCATTGCAGCAGTTGACCATGAGATGTCTAACCACTCATGTCCTGTAAGCACAGTGACGTCTCTCTGTGTAAGCTATTAATCATTAATATACCAGGGAAATATAAATCCTTTATTAGGTAGGCGGAAAACATAGTCAGAGAATGCACTGAATGATTTTGAGTCCATGGCCTGGACACCTCTATCACCATACCTAGAGAAAAAAAAACAGTCTGACATACGAAAGACATTACCTTGTTTTGTATCCACCACTTTTTCAGTTTAGTCCAAACCAAAATAACAGCTGTGAAAGGTATCTTGGACCACGGACAGTCTGGACCAACAGACCAAAATTCAGTCCGACCAAATGAGGTCATTCAGATCAAGCTGAATCAGGGTTCGGATCATTTTCAGTGTGAAAACATTTAATGTATAATTCAGACTGTCAGACCAATTGCAAGAAGTTGAGACAGCATTAGATAGCAATACACGAAGAAGCAGAGGTGCCTGGCAGGACAGCTTGTAGTCTTCACCTTGAACAGAAAAGATGTTCAACGCAGAGGACATTCCATATTGTTGGTAGTAAAACCATATTATTAGAAGCAACTAAATTAACAAACTGTTCCAGGTCAGTCTTTTTCTCCATTCAAACAGAAAGACTTCTTGTTTTTATGGACTTTATTTTAAAAAAATGCCTAATACAATGAAATACTGTCAAATATAGGTTGACAAGGCCCACACAGTTGATGACATGGTTCCGACCATGGTCTGGGCTTTAGCTGTGAAATGGTCCTTACTCACTTTCTTGCTGAAAATTAGACAAGAAGATCGAAACGTGTCTGTAGAATAAATAACTGTGCAACCAGTGGCAATTTAGCTTAGCTTAGCATAAAAGCTACAGAGAGCTAGCCTGTCCAAAGGTAGGCTAACTTAATTTAAAAAATATATCATTTTGAATATTTTCATTACTTTGAGTTGGCCAGGCAACCAGTGGAGATGCCCTGAAGAGATTGTACCTGGTCAAGAAATAGTTTCTTACATAACCACCCTAAATAACTGATCTTTTGTAAACTTTGAATCTACCGTAGGCATTTTTTATTTTATTTTAAAAGAGCCAGCTATTTACATCCTTTTACAGTCTTTGTGCTAAGTTAACTGTTTGGTAGCAGTAGCTTCATATTAAATAGTTACAATGGTGTCAATCTTCTCTTCTAACTCGCAACAACAAAGCAAAAATGCATATTCTCCCAAATCTCAAACTATCCCTCTGATGCTTGTAATGTTTGCACTCTTTAATTTCAATTAGTTTTGTGTATTTGCAACTAAGTAGAATACTCATCCTCTACAATCTAGTGCCACCATGCAAGTACTTAGTGGAGTCTCCTTGCATTTCATTATTTTTCCCCTTCACCCCAGAGAGTCAGGAGAGCCTGACCTTTTTAGGCGAGGTGAAAGGGAGGGCATATGGTTGTCAGGACAACAGTCATCCCCAGTCCATAGATGAAGAAATCTAAGATACTAGAGGAAGGGAGAGAGAGAACAAGTGAATGTAATGAAGCTTAGCTGCACATCTCCTAATATAGTGTGTTTCCTTCACATAACTGTACAGTGCTAAAGGAAATACTTAGTGTTACTGTCAGAACGTCATCTTGACTCCACACAGCGACTGCCTGCATTAACCATTTTCACTATGATCCCACATTTACACATAGTTTTGCACAACCCAGACACATTTAAATGTATTTATATTGTAACAGTGTAGTTACAATAAAAAGTGTTGTGGCCTAGCCTGGCCTTTTTTTAAATTTTTATCTGACCATCAATCTCTTGTCTGGTTTACTTTCACCCCACCAGAGATCTGCCTGCTGACCCGAGGTAGACGGACGGCTAGCGTACGAGCGGACACCTACTGTCGCCTCTACTCCCTCTCGGTGGACAATTTCAACGAGGTGCTGGAGGAGTATCCCATGATGAGGAGGGCCTTTGAGACAGTTGCCATTGACAGACTGGACAGAATAGGTAAGAACAGCCAGAGAGCTTGGCAATAAAACAATATCAATAATTATCACAATACAGTTTTTATCTTTATCAATATAATAGATGTACACTATATTTTGATAATGCTGATATATTGTGTGAGCAAAATGAGGAGGTATAACAGATAATTGATCAAATTCAGATTTGTTCAATGTTTTACTGTTTATCAACTGTTTGTGATTCTCTGTTTATGAAGAAGACTTTAAAACCATAATGTTCACTCAGGACCAAAAATCAGTCTTTCAACATTCAGAATGTGTCAAGAAATGACCTTCTTATTTGAATTTTATTTTTTGCACATCCAACATAATGTCAGTCCACAAAGCTTTTATTTTCAAGTCCTTTTTTGTATCTTAAGAGCAAAATATGAAAATGTAACAAAATCCTTCCATCCTGAAATAATTCATGAAATGTATCCAAGAGATTAAGTCCTGGAAAATTAGCATTAAACCTCCCAGATACAGCCCACAGGTATGGATGAGTCATTGATATGATGAAATGAAGCATCAGGAAAATGTATCCATTCATTAGCGTGATGTCTTTGTCTGACAGCTGTGGTGTGATGTATGAATGGTGCTGACAGGGACGATGTGTGGGGCGGAGAAAAGGAAGCGAGGGTAGAAGTGTATTCATGACTGTGAATCACTGATTATGTTGAGTATATTTGTGTAACAGTAATCGAATTCTTCCTTGTGGAAAACAGTTATTTACCAAACTGTGTGTGTGACACCTGAAATATAACAGAATGTGCTGAGCAAAATCACCTAGGTTACTGTACCTCTGTTTTCTCTCTCTAGATGCATTTGATAATTTGTTAGAACGATTGCTCGGCAGGGAAAAATCCTTGCTTTGTATGTGCACACACACACACATGGCTTTGTCTTACTGGAGCCTTGTGAGCTCATTGTTAAAGAGTAAACAAAACATGCTATTTTTTTGTCCCCTGACATAATTCCCCCCCAAGGTCAGCAATGCAGCTGATGCTACATCCCCCTGTCACATGACCACACTTCACAGGTTGACAAAGCCCTGCATCTGCCAGCTGCCAGTTGTTGCCATAGCAGCCAGATTCCACACATGAGCAGCCTTCAGTCAGTCAGGTCACGTATTTGGGGGGAGACTGACCTCTCTGCTTCAAGAGCTAACCACCTACTAAATATCCCCACTGGACTCCATGTGTACTTAATACATACTAATCACTGACAAAACGGGATCTTAATCAACTCTTTGTCAGAAAAAAGGATCAAACACAGTGGGGGTCAGACGTCTAACTACTAACAGTAAAATAATGAAGCAACATATCGTTTGAACTGTAAACACTGATGGATGCAACTTGACAGGATCCTCATTTTAAAAATTCTATTTAATCCCGTGCTTCCAACATCATCTTCCTCTAAAAAAAATACATCTTTTTTAATTTCTGTCATGTTTGACAAGATTTCTTTGTTGCACATCACATTTTAGATCAGCCTGACAACCATGACTACACAAACAGGCTAACCTTTTCATTTTCTAACCCTATAAAACATCAAATTATTTGAGCTAACTCATATACAGAAGAAGAATAAGCTGGAGGCTTCTTTGTCATTATTTTATACAATGTTATAAAGATGCTTGTAACAGTTTACCAGCGATTTGAGGGGTGGCAGAGGTGTTTGGAATTCTAGTGGATGTGTTGTACCAGAGGCAGCTTCAGCTTATCAACTGCTGTGGTTTCTTGGTCATTTCTCTGGCTCCTCCCTTCAAAACACGTGAAGGCGAACAGTCTCTGTATTTTTGTCACAGCTGGAATCAATGAAACGTGCTAAGAGGGCAGAAGAGTCATGACAGTCAACATCTGCCTCCTCCCATCCCTCTCCATCTGATGACCTTTTTCTGAAGTGGGTATCACTCGGGCTGACTGATAATCAGGCTTTCTTTCCAGTTGTCAGCCCACCTGCTGCATTGGAGAACTAGAACTTGCTATATGCACTACTTCAATTATTACCCACAGGCACATGCAGCTTCTCTACATGTTCATCTCCTGTGAGACCCTCTTTATCCCTAAGGTACAGCAGATGTTGTATCATCTGGGAGCAGCAGAAAATGTTGTCTTTGGTCCTAAACTTGTTCCTGAGCATTATTTGTTGAGCACTGATTGACCCTGTGGCTGTCCTTTAGCATTAAAATCATTATCAATGGCTGGCTGCTCCAGATATACCAACATCTCAGTCCATCCATCCTTCAAAAAGTCCAGAGAAAAAAGGACATAAGGAGGTGTTGTCCAACAAATTAATGCATCCTGATCCAGTATTCAGGATGCAACTGATTCAGTTGTGGGGATCTTATTTGTGTTTATCATAGATAAGCAGCCCTCCTGGTTTGTATTTTCTACTTTTCTCCTTTACTGAATAAAAGAAAGCAGCATAAGGAGGGTTTGTCTGCCTCAACTTGTCATTAGTTGCCTTTCTTCACGTGTCAAAGCAAGTAATTCACACAAAGAATCGGTTGCCAAATAGGCTTTTCCTGTCTCTCTTCATCAAGAAGAGATACGTCTCTGTTGGCCTCCTCCTTCACTGTTCTTGTTCATTATTTCAGAGAGCAGGATATTCAAATCTCAGCAGATTTAAGACACAACAATGTTTAACGTGTTTCTGCTGGCACAGCCATGGTCAGTGATAAACCATGTGAGGACAGAAGTGAAGACTCTCTCACACTCTTCTCTCCAGTGATGTCTCAATCACGACTCTGTGGACAATACGTTTGAGACATGAGAGTGCAGCACTATGTTTTATTGCTAATGGCTATGCCCCTACTCGTGAGTCCCCTTGTCCTACTGTCTGCACCAGTATATTGATGCTGCATTAAATTACATTTTGATAGTGTGACTGTAGGTAGTCCTGAACTCAGCTCAAATGTACACCGGCTTTCAGACCCAGCTGTAGTTGTGCATTCTGCAGATCGATTATCTGTCATCTGCATTCAAGGGTATTCAACAAACCTCCTCCTCAAATCTAACAGAAACTCGTGTTTTTCTGAGCATACCCTTCTAAGATGCTTTGTCAGTCTCACTTACTGGTGAAAAGTCACAGTCAATTAAAGCTGTGTGCGTCATTCACAGCTTGATGCCACACGAGAGTTGTTGAGGCCATTTGTGAGTTGTTAAGGTGGTGTGGCTGTCATTAGAGATCATCAGTCACCTGAGTTTAAGTGTGAAAATGCCTGGAAGGGGACATTAGTATGCCATAGACTGCTGAATCCATACTAGAGGAGGGTTTTATTTTATCAATTTGAACATTGATTTGGGGGGTTCTTCCTTGTCCTTAGTGGGGTTCTTTGTATAACCACAGGTTTGTGCATTCCTTGTTGTTTCAGAATTCTAAACAATCTACCGCCCTTCTCTTCTGATTTTTGAGTCCTTCCAATTTACATGTGTGTGGAGACAGGGGGGTTAGGGGAGGCCCATATGATGCTGGTAATCTAGTACCTCACATGCCATCAAATTTAAATACTGCAAGTGTTCAAACACATGGACGTTTACAGCTACTAGGGCCAGTGCATACAGAGTATCTGAGTACATATACACAGACACACACAAATGCATTACCCAATTAGCTGTTTCTTCCGTAGAAGTAGAAGAACAAATTAGCAGACATACTCTTTGTCACAATGTCATTGCTGAGGTAAGTCTACAAAAACACTGATTCTCTGTCCCCACGCCAGGGAAAACATAAGTTATGTGTAGGGGCCTGTGTGCATCACCGGGAATTGAATTAAATAGATAAAGTTAAATGATAAAGTTGATATTTCTGTGTAGCAAAAAAGGCAGAAGCAAAGTTCTTCAGCACCATTAGTATCTACTTCAGCAACAGTGCTCTTTTCTGTTTCTGTCTCATTGCAGGCAAGAAGAACTCCATCCTGATGCATAAAGTTCAACATGATCTGAACTCAGGTGTTTTCAACAACCATGAGAATGAGATGATCCAGGAGATAGTTAAATATGATCGGGAGATGGTTCAACAAGTGGATGTGCCACGACCACGGGCCATGTCCATGACACCTTCTCTAAATAGTGGGATCTTTACTCCTCCGGGTTCCTCCACCCAGCCTCAAAATTCAGCAATTGCCACTTTGCAGCAGGCAGTCGCCATGAACTTTTGTCCCCCAATGCAGGGGAACTCAGTGGGAGCAGGGAACCTGCAGTCCCCAAGGATGGTGAGGAGATTCCAGGTGGTGCAAAGTGTATCCAGCCCTGTCTCAGCCTCTCCCCTGCAGTCTCAGCTCCTTGCTTCTGGTGCCTTTGCTCCGGTCCTGTCAAGCCCCCCTGTCCAGAGCCCGCTGGCTGTTGGAGGACGGTCATTCCATTATGGGTCCAGTGCAATGGCAGGTCCCACCTCAGGCTCCCAGCTTTCACTAGCCCAGCAGCACATAGCCAGCCCTGCACACCGGCTCAGCACACATAAGAGCACCCATTCCTTGCAAATGGGCAGTCTGAGCCAAGATGCCAGAGCACTGTCAGTCTCTCAGCCCTCACTGCCTCATGAGGGGGTACAACCAGGTGCCCCTAGTCCACCCCATTCTACACGAGTCTCCTCTACTTCCATTGGACCCCATCAGACCCCATCAGGTCACACAGGCGTTCGGTGTGCTATACCACAAAGAGTGGTACTGCCCCACCAAATGTCTGTGGGGACATTCCCTGTAGCATCGTTGCCTGGTTCTGCACAGAGTTTTGGGGCTGTTGCAGGACTGGCAGTAGGGGGTGTGGGAATAGGTCAGGGAGACTCAGGACAACCCAAGAAGGACTCTATTGTGAGCCTTCCTGAGACAGACCACATCAAAGTTAGATCCAGGTTATCATCAAACTTGTGATCTTAATCAAACTCTTGCAGGAGGGACTCAATCCGTGGCATAACCGCACGAACATGGAAGGATTTCTGTTCACCGCTCTACAGATCCTCTTCTCACTACTCACTTCAGTTTGACTCTCCGAATGTATGAATGTTGACTGAGTGACTGCAAAGATAATCTTAGAAGTGACTGTTCTAATATAATAAAGTCTGTATGGTGACTTGTGAATCTGCAGCATCAAGACGTTTCTACTCACATAGAGGATGCACAGAACAGTAGAGGTAACGTAGCATCTGCCCATCTCCCCCTCCTTTATTTATTGTATTTGACTATAGTTAATAACAAATGGGTATATCTGCTTCACCATCCATTTCATTCCACTCAATTAATGGAAATGGAAATTATAGGTCAGATGGGAATAAAAGAAAATCAGGGACCTGCTTCAGATATCAGAAGTTGGAACTTTTAAGCGGCTTGACTACTGTATCTACCACATGTTTCTCCTCACAAAGGCATAATAATTCATGGCTTCATAAAAAGTCATAAAAGATTTTAATATTAAAATAGGTGTGTTTCACTGTTATTGACTATCCAGTCAAATAGAACATCAAACCAAATGTATAAGCACAAAAATGAACTATATATACATATAAAAATCACTCTCCTTTGACCATCTTTAGTCTTCACCAGTTGTTTAAGCCATATTTCCCCAGATCATTGATATGAATGGAAAATATGTTTGTTTTGTATGTGAATCCAAGTTGTCTGAATCTAGTTGGCCTCTTTTGTAAGTCTTCCCTGCCTCTAAATGTCCCCACAGATAAATATTTGAGGCTGTATGATCTTCAGATCACAGACGATGAATATCCTTCAAACTGAAATTAGATCAGTTGGACAAACTGTTTTGTTCCAGGCAAGCCATCGATTTCCACAGGAAATGACTGCATGTTTTTTTAATTTATTTAAAACTGCATTAATCAATATTTTTTTATATTAACAGTGAATCAAATGACTTAGTGCAATGCGAGTATAGCTCATTGTTTCGGTTGTAAGACCCATAATTACCTTGGTGTCAAGGCTTTCAACTATTTTCACCATCCTCCGAGAACATCCCGAAATATGATCTGAGCTATTCTGAGTTTCTGAGTTTATGCTTTTCTACGTTATAATTAATTATAATTCAAAGGGACTTTTACAATGACTTCAATGACCAATTAACAATGTTTTTAATAAAATTAGACAGAAAACACTAGAGGTCACAAACAAGCAAAAGTCAATCTGCAAATAGAAAAGTAGAAGTCTAGTTTACATTGTATTGAAGTGGTAACATTGCTGTATTCATTCATTCATTCGTTCTAATTTGATAGTTTACTATTGAAGTAGAGTTATATGCATGATTTTGCATTGGTATGTCAGCACAAAAGAATTGATTCAACTGCTTGACAAACTGAGTGGACTAAGAGTAGACGGGTCTGTTTCTGTCCCTGGAACACACAGACACTTTGCACCCTTTGGCTTAATTGCTACCATATGTGCTTGCCAGATCAACTTAAACTGTCCTGGATAAAAACATGAAATTAGTTGTTAGCTATCAAGCAAGCAAATAGAAACAGAAAATACAACAGCTATAAATAAAACTTAATAGATAAAATCAAGGTCTCAATTCAAATTGAAAGCCATTGAGAAGACGTGGGTCCTAATCAATGATTTACAGTTAACATCACTGATGGCTTTAGCATCATCGTGTCGTGCAAATCTTACTCAGTTCAAATATCTCAACTCAAGAGGATGAGATCAAGTGAAAGATGCAAATTTTGCGCGGCCACAACACGTCTTTGCATTGACTTTGTATGTAATCTGCACAAAAGATTTGCTTTGCAAACGCACCATCAGGCTGGAGGCCTGTGTAGAGAGATGATTATGTTGCTCGGAGGTCATTTTTATAAAACATTTGATATGATGACTTTCAAGGTGACAATTTGTCCGAGCTGTGTCTGCTTGTTGTGGAGTTCTGCCTCCAAGTGGGTGAACATTGATTAATGCAGCTTTAAAATGTAACAGCTATACCTGAGTGAACGACACCTCGTCTTAACAGCAGAAATGTTTTGTGAAGAGATTAGCTAAGTCTCACACTTTGTGAAAGTATTACGTAATTATAATTCACTGCCAGTTAATTACAAGAAATTTTATACCAGTCTAAATGTAAACTTATTCCAAGTCACATAATCAAAATGTAAATCCATTCTTTTCTAACTCTGAATGTCACATTTCTTGCAGCGGCAGTCGCGATGCCAAAGCCAATTCGTAGAGATAATGAAACTCCTGCAAAGCTCGACCTCACTATAAACGCTCGTTTTGATCAACAGCCAAGGACAGTGCAGATACTTTGCAGGATGTATATTTCAGTGTGCCTCTATCATAATGCCCCAGTTACAGTTCATCAGAAGCCGCTGAGTTATGTCCAAAAGCATTTGGAAGAAAAGCTTTTTCTCCCGGACCTGACATTCTCACCTCATTTCACTAATGCCTGAACCATTTCTGCATAATGAGAGAGCAAATTGGAATCCCTCTGGTCTGTTTGGGGCTGTTACCATTCCCTGTCCATTGGATTCCATTATACTGTGCCAATGAGTTCCTCTCACATGATCGTTTTTGCATTTTTATTGTGTTTGGTTCAGTATAGATTCAAAATGGCACAAAGTCGAAAGCTTATGAGTATTTTTATACAGTGTTCTTGAGGTCTGTTTTTTATGCCCAAATGATGCCCTATGGATATTATCATGGAGGTTCAAACATAATTAATACAGAGGCTTGTTATGGGAATAATGTTTCAACTTCACATCGTCTCCTGGAGGAATTTAATGACATATTTACTTTATATACCTTTAATGTTGCTCACAGTAGAAGAAGATGGTGAGAAGGAGGAAGACCGGATAGAAATAGGTCAATAACTCAAGTCAAATACAATCAGATATTAGTAACTTAGAGGTAGGGTTGGTACGTTTCAGAATTTTTTTTTATCCTATGTGTTGAAATCTTCTTCTCGCCATTAATAAATAAAGTCATCTATAAAAAGGCAGATCATTGGCAGGCGTATCTGCCACTAACCGACCTGCCGGCCTGCATGCACCCTGCCTGTGCTCTCACTGTGCATGACTGGAGTCTTCAGCCGGAGAGACATACCCCACTGAAGCAGAGACCAAATCCCCAAGTCAGTGAGTGAGTCACAGAGAAGTCGACTTCTAGCAGTTGTCAGTTAGTGCATGTTCATGTTTTTGGCGGCATAGCTTTGTCTTGTAAAAGCAAACAAGATTACCAATTTAAAGATTTAAAGATCAACGATACAACATCAACTCATCAATGTTAATCAAAGCTGAGAAATGAACTGAGTGATACCAAAGTTTTAAAACCTGGGATTTTTACGTATACAAATATTAAGATATTAAGATACAGAAAACATGTCACAGTCTGAACTTTTCACTGTTGCTAAACATACAAATTATAGAATAATACTGAACACACAGGCACACAAAGCAATAACTGAAGAGTGTGGTCACTTTATGCAATGATTTTCTCTTGAGGTGTTATTGGAGATGCAATTATTTCGTGTCATCGACGGATTTCTCAAACTATAACGAGAATTTATTCAAAGTCTGTTTCTGGAAGAGTACGAACAGATATCCAGTTTTAAATACATGGTTGTTATTTCAATGTGTCCATCTCAAAGAGACTGCATTGATTCAGCCATTAACTGTAGACACAAGCTTAAAAACAAACTCAAAAAATATTTTAAATCTTTGACAAAGTGCATATTATCATCTCGAATGAACCAATATTTCTTGAGCGTAATATTCAGATCAGAGCAAAACTATTTGTATTACAGAGGATGGATCACTGCTTCTTTCTCCACAGTGGCTCACAGTCCCACCCGCAGTCTGTGTATAATCCTGTGCCAGTTGCTGTGAGGTCTGCATGGTTTCTTCTCTTGTCTATGTTTTCTTTTCTTTCAGATCTCACACCTCTGTGCTTTTGCAAATCCTGTACCTTTGACCAATGCTGCTCTCTGATTTGTTTTTCTCTCTCTGCCAGTACCTCTGCCACCTGAATAGCATGTTGCACAGAAACACGTTTTCAAACATATTATGTAAATTCTACAACAACTCAGCTGTTCCACTTTTTCCGACCCGCAGGCTTTGGTGAGGATGACATCTGTGCCACACACACACACACACACACACACACACACACACACACACACACACACACACACGTAGCAGGGTCAACACAAACATCTGTGTTCGCCACGTTTTCAGAAGACTCATTCATTTTTCTTCCTGTCTTCAGTGTCACAGCTCCTCCGCGTTCAACTCTATTTTCCAATGTTTTATTCACACGTGTCTTTTAGTTCATCAGTGGCAGTAAAACATGGAAGTGCTTAAAATGTTAACTTACAAGGGCTGTTCATATGAACTGAGCGAGGATGTGATTTTGTGTCTCTATCTCACAAATACATGATAATGCTCATGAGTTCAGATTCTTTTCTATATTCCATTGGCCAATAATGAGTAACACCAACACTAAAACAATATGTAATGCACTTTTTATACTAGTTGTATTTTACAGAATATAATACAGTACGAGTCAATACCAAACAGCAGTCAACATTTCTTGATATGTTTTGTACATTCTTTGATCCCAACATGTTAGTGTGAGAAATAGCATTCAATAATAAGGGTACACAGCCGATACCGAAAGCCATCAATACAAACATACACTGAGTTCTTCACCACTCACCATGAATCCCCCTGAAGCCCACAGACGATCACAGACGCTCACACTCGGTGAGATCAGTGCCGTGCAAGTGTTTCTGTGTCAGGGACCTGATTTTCTTTTATCGAGCCACTCTACACTTGTCACCTCCCATTATAATGTACTGTTCCCTTTAGTGCCTAGCATATATCGTAGACTCCACATACATGTACTATACTCTCTGTGTGTGGCTGTAAAAAATAAATGCAAGA